CTTATAACACTTATCCTATAAAGCAAAGGGGTGTTACTTTGATTTGATTTGCAGGTTGAGCAAGGAGTGATGGTGGTTGGGGTACTTGGTGGTGTGGTGGTGGCAGCGCAGCAGCGGTTATGGTAAGGTGGTGGCAGTGGCAATGTGGTGGTAGTAGGGGTGATGTCAGAGGTGGTGGTGGTGGCAGCGGCCGTGATAGGGTGGTGGTATCGGCAGTAGTGGTGTCATTGGTATGGCTGGTATGTCTCATTAGATCCAGAAAATGTTTTCCGCTTCTAGAAAATGAAAAACATTTAACACCCAAATTAACTCATCTCCTGATAACATACGAAAAATGTCTTCTATTAACTTTTATTTTCCGTCATACTAAATGCTAGAAATGCGAAAAATGATTCTCTTAAACAAACTTACGTTATGAATATTGAAGAGGAATTTTTTGCCTTTCTTTCTTTCTTTTATTTTTTATTTTTATATGGACAATATGATGTTATTTGGAGCACAATTTAGAGCTATTTAATTCTTTAGATACTACTATAAAAATAAATACAATAAATAAAAAACTGCATACTAAGATCACTAAAAAAAACTACTATTCTTGAGCTAAGTTGTTTTTTTATATGTTTACATATATGAATTGTGGGTCACGCAAATTACAGCTCACATGTCGAAGGTAAAGAAAATGCCAAAAAATTCCGTTTGGTAAGCAATTCAAATTATAGTTTCACCCATTGATTTGAGTTTGTTGTTTGTTTTGAGCTTTCAAATCATAATTCTACACCCATATCTCAAAACTCAATTCAAAACATAATCATTACTTTTCAAAACTCATAACCAAATACATAATTCAAAACTATTTTCAAAACTCAATTCAAATCAATATTTTAATTTTTTAAATATTTAAATATTTTAAAAATATTTTAATTTTGTTAAGATTTTAAATATTTAAATATGTTACGATTTTTTTAATTTTTTAAATATTTTTAAATATTTTAATTTCAAAATATTACAATTTTAATTTTTTAAATTTTAAAATATTTTATAAAAATAAATTCAAACTCTATTTTATAAAAATATTTTAAAATATTTTAATTTTTTTGTTATGTATTTTGTTACGATTTGAGTGTAGAGTTATGAAAGTAATATGGAGTTTCGAATTATGTGTTTGGTTATGAGTTTTAAAAATAATTTCTGAATTGAGTTTTGTTTTATATGTTTAGTTACGATTTGAGTGTAGAGTTGTTTTTAAATTTAAAATATTAACATTTTAAATTATTTAAATTTTTACGATTTAAGTTTTTTGAATATTTATTTTAATTTTTTAGATTATTTAAGTTATTTAAATATTTATGATTTAAATTTTTTGAATATTTATTTTGAAAAAAAAATTATTTCCTTTGTAGTATTTTCAATTAAAAATTGATTAACTTCACATGTCAAATCAAACTTTCAAAACTCAATTCCACACTCAATTCAAAACTTAATTCAACACTCTATTTAAAAACCATAACCAAACAAATTTTCTACACTCAAATCATAATTCCACAACTCACAAACTCAAAATACAATTCATACTCTTAAATCATATTTACAAAACTCTACCAAACGCAACAGAATTTCATGTTTCTGTTTGATGAATAGAATGCAATGCAACTCAGCTCATGTGGACATACAGTTAGCATTTTACACAATTCAACTTAGCTCAGACATACAGTTTTGCTTTATGAACAGAATAAGCAATGGACTACAGTTAGCATTATTTATATATTCAAATTCTTAGTTCAATTATTGAAAAATGGAGAAACTAGAACTTTAAGCGTACCTCTCTTTCTGTAAACAATTAGGCAAAGACAAATGGCTGCTGCAGGCTTCACAATGGAGACAGAAACCTCAATAATCTATTGTTAAGAAGAGCAAAACATTTTTTTTCTTGGTTTGATGTATCTTCACACAATATTTGATACTTTGCTTCCAGGGAAGAAAGGTGGCAAACAACATATACCCGCTCCTCCTTTTTCTCTTTTCCTTTTCCTTTTCTTGAGAAAAATCTTATACACAGAATTGACTCACTGAAATTTCATATAAATAGTCAAAGGCAATGAGTCTCCCAAATTGAAATGCATGTATAAATAAATAATGATGATGATAAGAAGTTAGAAGACAAGTGGGCTGTCCAATTACAGAACCTTGCTAACAGTTTAGTGGCACAGTTCACAATGCCCTTAGAGTTACGAGTGAATGGAGTTGGCCTGCAATTTTACTGCTCTGTTCTAGTGAAATAATCTATTCCTGCTAAATTTGACAATAAATCCCAATTGTTTTGTTAAGGGTGTTGTTAAATTGAAACTTACTACCGATTATATATATTACGTATATATATAGATAGCACTCTTCGCATTGGGTGAGAACACAAAATATAATCATTAAAACCCCAACTATCATACAATCAAATAAAAGAAGACCTGTTCCCACATTTTCCTTTTGTTGGCACAAGGCACAGTAAGGATTGGTAATTTGGTCTTGTAAAACAGTATATAATATAATTACCAAACATCTATGACATGAAGGATATGTAAATGGGAGTGAACAGGGTAGTTTTTGCTAGCTCTATCAATCCAAGCAATCAAATCAAATGGAATAGGAGTGTTAGAGTCGAAAAATAAAATACAGAGTTTCTTCTATAGATTCTGAAGCAGTAGGAGAATGACCACACAAGCATGAGTGCAAAGTAATGTACAATACAATCGAGTAAATCACAATGTACAACTTAGATGACTAGTTCAAAGCCAAACTCAATGTAAACTTGACCTTTATTTGAAGTAGAATCCAAATAGAGCGAAGTGAGGCTCTTATCCAAATAGTACAATCTCAGCCTGGCAATGCTGCAACATAAAATCAAATTAATTATAATACTTGTGGAGGCAACATAATGTACACCAATTTTGAATAGCGCACACACAAGCTAATAGGAGTGCATTAACAGAGCTGCCATTGAGATGAAGTTAATTAGTTTCATCAGAGTTGGAACCTGCCCAAATCTTTTGCAACCGCTATCTTGACATCTGCATACTAAAAACCCTCTTCAGAAGCAGCCTCTGTGCAAGCAAACTAAACTCTGAATTCACTATTCACCATTACTGAAATGATCAGAAGTGATTATTTGATGGTTCTAAAATGTCAACTCGACTGAAAAAGCCTTTATATTGTTTTTAGTCTAATATTCTGGTGGCCGTACCTAGCATCGCCTCAGTCTAAGAGCCCTGGGCTGTTCTTCAGCATATAATGTGTAAGTTTGTGTGTGTGTGTGTGTGTGAGAGAGAGAGAGAGAGAGAGAGAGAGCACCTGGACATTGAAGTGCTTTTGCATAATCAGAACATTATCCCAACATCATCCAATTTGATTGTCTTCAATTTTGGTGTGCTGTGGACACTGGAAGGAGTGGCAGAAGTAAAAGTCTTCATTTCAGAGCAATCTTTCAGAATTACTCATCCAAGGATGGCCATTCAAAAAGTAGAGCCCCCGGTGCAGAAACTACTGAGATTTGAAAGTTGTTCAAGATTTATTGTACTTATCAACTATAGCTTCTTGTTCTTCTTTCTCTAGGCATTTCTTTACAACAATGTCCTCCAACTTCTCCCAGTCATATCAAACCAAAGCTTCTATTGAGATGTTAGCATCCTCAAGAAACAAAAGACAAAGCAATAAGCAGGACTCGGCTTCCTCATCCTGTAGGTAATCATAGCTCAACTTAAGACTTCCATACTCTTCTCGATCAACACCTTCGAAGGTTGTTGACTATGAAGCACCGACACTTCAAAACAAGTGCCGTATCCGTGTCGGACACACGGACGCGGAGGGGACATGTATGGCACACGCCACATGACATGTCCCCTTATTTAATTAATTTATTTTCAAGGGACACACTAGGAACATGCCAACTTGTCTTTTCCCCAATTTTCTTTAGTGCTTTTGATCAATGTTTGATGTTGAATGTTTATTAATTTTTTTCTTAAACTTAAATACTTAATAAATCATCCACAAACTATAAATGTTAATTTAAAAGTGCTTTTTTTTTAAATATTCAATTAGAGTTAGTTTTTGTTAATATTAATTGTTTGTGGATGTAATATTAAACTAGATAGTACATAAAAATAAATGAAAACATATTTTATTGGCATGTTCCCGCCATGTCCGTGTCCCCATTTTTTTGAAACGCCATGTCCCGTGTCTGCATCCATATCCATGTCTGTGCTTCTTAGGTTGTTGGCAATGATTTTCTAAGTTCATAAGCTGCCTCTTTTCATTTTTTGTGAAAATCGTTGTCTCTCATTGCCCTTCCAACTATGACAAATGGTAAGGCCAAACCTTGACATTCACTGTGAAACAAATGTGGGGGAGTCAACAACATCACCAGCATTCCTTCTAAACAAGTCCCAAGATCCTTTTTCAGACAAAACTTGAAGATGCATGATCTTTGTTGTTTGCCATGCTTTTCCACATAAATTTTTTTTTGGGGGGATTAAGTACAAGTTTTTTTTGTTTCTCTCAATAATTTGACATGTGCATCTAGGACCTCATGAAACAACTATCTTATGATCTGATAAAGCATCACATCCAGCAACCCTTACTTGGGAAGGAATGGCTATTAAGAATTTCAAAACTTAACAGTCAAAAATACTTGACTAAATGAACAACCATCCATTGAAGATATAACTTCTGTTCCCGCAAACTGAATTCTATGGAATTCTTGAAAATTTTATATCTTTAGTCCACTTCAAATGAAATGTGGGGCTAAGTCGTACAAAGTGAAATCAGTGGCATATCCAAAGTGTAGTGGATGAATAGAATTACAAAAGAAAGAAATAAAAAATTTAAATATATAAATAAATAAAGAGTTATAAATTCAGTGACCTCCTTATTGATATAAGTAAAAATGTAGTAGTAATTACGGTGTATAATAGGCTTTCGTGATGAATATTGTTGGGTATATCTGCACTTATGAGGCATTGGACAGCAGCAGATTGGTATCAAATAATCTAAAAAAAGGTACAACAACAACAAGGTGTATAATGATAACATAAATAAACCCTACTACAACGTAATCATAGCTTAAGAGCAAAATTACAAAAGCTTCAATAAATTATGTTAAATGCGGTGCCTCATTGACAAACACTTCTTCCATACATCTCTCATCAGAAAACCATTGTCATTACCTTACAACAAGCATATAAAAGTAGGGCAAAACTCACAGGAAAAGACTCTCATTCAGTCTCTTGGCTTCAAGATCATGTATTCACTCCAAACACAAAACCATTGCTGTATGAGGGAAGATTGCTAGAAGGTCCATTATTCCTCACTGGTGAGCGGAACGGATTCGGTGTCACAGGTTTGAGTAATATGCAGTCCAGCACTCCGAAGAACTTGTTTAGCATTTGCATATGAAATTCCAGACTGATCAGCGAAGGAAGCAGGAACACCCATGGACTTGATTAAGTTGAGGGCTCCACCCCAACTTGCATATTTCTCTAATCCACAGTTGAGTGCAAAACTACATGAGGTGAGGATAGGTAAGTGGCTTCCTCCTGATAAAGTCCCCTCACAAGATTCACCCTTACTCTGCTACTTATCCCTGAAGTTGTCCCTGACAAATTCATTGGAACTCCAGGGCCCACCATTACTATCTGTATATTGCTCATCCCATTAAGAAGATGACCAATCTCAGCAAATGCTGGCATCCAATCCAACTCCCCTTCAGGCCCATGGTAGTGAAGAATCACCTCTTTGCCTTTGAGCAAAAGGTTCTTTGAACTGATATTGAGTGCTGTTAATATGTAATAGATTGTCAAGGGGTGGGAGAGAATGTCTGCAACAGGGCTTGACATTGGCAGCGATCGACGGTTATAGTACTCTGTCCAACCAGAGAGAAGGATCGGACTCGACATCCCATCCCCTAAATGATTATGAAAAGGTGAATCACGAGGGTACTCATCATCATCCAGCCCACCCGATGAATCCCAAAGTCCACCATTAACAGGAAGTTGACCGTAAGGGATGTGGGACTGGCAACTGCACTTTCTCCTCCACATCCCCTTGTGGTGGATATCCAATGATTCAAGCCATTTACATGGCTGAAAAGCTGAACAAGGGAAGACAAAGAATTTCATTGCCAACTCTTCTTCTCGTTCCATCATTGCCTTGCAAAGGCCACACATGCCTTTATGTGTTTCCTTCCAGTGCTGCTTCTGGCAAAGAGCACTGCAATAAACCACCGCACGACACCAGTTGCAACACACAGATTGTTCTCCGTGAACTTCTTTCTCACACATTTCACAATGCCTCAATCCAACACAAGAGCTCACTTTCACATCTACAAAGGTCTCCTCCTTGGGTGGTTCCGCATACTTGGCGGGGGCTGAGTTAGCCGTTGAGATGGCCTTTTCCTCGTATCCCTGACCAGGTGGATGTGAGACTGTCACTGCAACAAGATCATTACCCTTGGACATTTCAGGAGGCCATTGCACATCAACTGTTTCAATGAATGGTTCAACGTGCAACATCAATGACAGGAAAACGATCAGTACCTGACACTTCCAACGACAAGGACCTAGTCATCTTCTTATTCGATGAAAACATCAATGACTCAAGCTCGTAAGTCACTCTCAAGAGCTCGACATTTGGAACCCCGAATCGTCTCTCTAGAACCCGTCATCCTCCGTGCATCATTTTCCGATCTAAACATATGAAACCCTAAATCCCCACCATCCCCTCCTACAAATTGAACGCACGAAATGGCTGTTTCTTTCCACAAATTGCTCTGAGAGAGATAGCAAGTAGGCATTCTTCCCCTCTTCCACTTTTTTTTGGCGAATAACACTTTCTATCATCACTCCAAATCATGACCCCTACCACTTTTTGATTGATTGTATATAATTTTTTTTTTTTTGTCTTAAGAAAAATAAAATATTTAATATTTTTTTTGTCTTAAGAAAATAAAATATTTAATATAAATATACATGTGGTGTAGCATGGGCCTTTTCTCAAAATAAGTCAAAATATTAATCTATTTCTTAAACTAAATCTGGTTTAGTCGAAATTCTCAAAATAAGTTGAAATGAAATTCTCAAAATAAGTTGAAACGTTATTACAAAACATATTTACACCATATTTCTGGCTCAGGCGGCGAAAATAAATAAAATCATAACAGCGTGATTACGAATCACGCTTTTAATTAAGAAAACATGATTAGAAACCACGCTTTTAAGGAAAACTATTTTGTTAAGAAAGCGTGGTTGTAAATCACCATTTTAAAGAAAATTTGGTTTTTAAATAAAGCGTGATTCGTAATCACACTTTTAAACTAAAACCGATCCACAACTGTTTATTATTATTATTATTACTATTATTATTATTATTATTCAATCCACATTCTATAATTCACTCATCTTATAGATCTCTATATATAAATTATTCATATAAAATATCGTATTGATAAACAATCTTAGATACAAAATTTTATTATTTTAATATTTAAAAATAAATTATGTAATTTTGAAATTATGTTTCGCATCCATTATTTTTTAAAAAAATTATAAAATTATATGTACAATTATCAGATCAATTTGATATTTACATAAATAATTTATACATAAAATTTTTAAAAAATAAATAGCATGAATTGTCTAAAGAATAGTGATTAAAAGCTCTAAAACTAGAGTTCTAATTTAAGCTGTAATGATGTGACATAAAAATAAATAAAAAGAAAACCACAAACAAGCAAGCATAAGCATCATATCAAAAATTATTAGACTAAGATTTTACCATTGAATCAATGATCACCACTTATGACTTTAAAAATATAAAAGTAAAAAAAAAATATGAAAAAATGTAAATTAAATAGTTGCTTAATTTACCTGATATTTTTTAAATTGTTATTTAAATATAAATTTTTAAATTAAAATTTTATTTTGTTATATAATTCAAATATAATTTAAAAAAGATCGATGATGGACAAAAATAAAAATAACAAATAAAAAATTAAAAAAGAAGAAGAAAATAATGGCCTCGAGACACGCACTCTCCCCAGAGAACCCTTTGCGCAGTTTCGGAGAGATTTTGTCGGGACTTTTCCCAAACTAAGCCCCTATACTAATTTATTTCCCAAACTAAGTCTACTTTTGCGAAATTTTTGAAACTAAATATTTGTTATTCCCTTAAATATTTGTTGCCAAGAAACATTTAAATAAAACTTCACACAGCATATACAAAGTATCTAATTTGCTAATTACTACTGCGAATAGGAAAACAAAATAAAGATATGACTATAACACTTATAACACTTTAGAACGACGTAACTAGTTCAAACATAAGCATCCCACAAAAATAATTTGTGTAAACATTCAACATAACACAGTACATAAAATAAAGCGACGAGTACAATACTTAACAGCTACATAGACAAATATTAAACAAACCTTTCACAAACTCATGTCGAAAGAGTTATTTTAACACACACAACATATAATTATGGATAACCTAATATAATTTAGTAGACAGATAGACGCCTAATCCTCGCGCAAATCGGCAATCTTAGAGTCTGAACAATTAGAGAGCTCAAGGTCAGAAAGAAGTGCAGGATCATCCTTGATAGCCTTGATAGCCGCAGCATTTGGTGCTGTTCCGTTCTTCTTGGTATCTGACTTAAGTATAGATACTTTCATATCGCGGGCTGACCTACGACGCATTTGAGAAATCTCACGTCGAAATCTTTCACATAGTCGATCAACATTATCTGGATCTTCCTTTTGGATCTCAACTGAATGTGCTTTCGGCACCTTCAATCGATTTTCCCGACATAATCTTTCCATTTGCACTCACTCTATAAAATAGTGCGGGCCACTTCAGAAGTCTAGCGTCTGCTAAACCATATCCTGTTTGATTATTAGATAGATCCTCCACGAAACCACATGGATCTCGATAGTACTTGGGCATGACAAAATGTCGCTTCCCCAACCTATCATAATAAGCACAAGAGGCATCTAACAAAGCAAATTGTGTTTCATCGTCAGCATCGCCACTTCCCCTTCAAGTTCCTCTTCTTCGGCATGAACTCTCACCTCTTTCGAAGTTCCTACCCCCTGTGAGTCCCCTTCCCGTTCCTCTTCCTCGTCGTGAACTCTCACCTCTACGATTCCTACCTCTTGCTGTGAATCTGTACTCCATTTATTTTTTTTCAATAGATGAACGATAGTTTCTTAGGGCGAACTGAGTGGAAAGGTTGTGTGTTTACCATCACTCCTTCAGTCCTTTATATAGTTTTTTTTTTTTTGATCAGCAAAGAAAATTTTCATTAATCAATATGAAATTAAAGGTACAAGAAGATGAAATGCACTGAGAGAGATTCGGAAGGTACAAAATACCCCTACTACTGCTACTCGCAACCATACAACCAACCCCTTGGCCTCACGATTTTTTTAAAACAAAAAGTTAAGAAGGACTTTAGTCCTTTATATAGTTGTTTGTCAACACTATTGCCATGTGGTCGTATTAATGTGACTTAGATGAGTTCTGAAATGTGAAGAAAAAACAAAACATCTAAGTTGCATTGCACAAAGTCACATGTATCACTGCATGTGAGGAAAAAAGTCAGAAAGTATATAATTTACAAAGTCAGAAAGCCACATGCATCACTGCATCACTACACAAAGTCACATGCATCACTGCATCTGAGGAAAAAAGTCACATGCATTACTGCATCGCTGCACAAAGTCACATAGTATCTGAGGAAAAAACAAAGCATACAATTTATTTCGTCTGATAAAGTCACTGCATCACGTTTGTTAAAAGTGTGTATTTCAATGTGTAAACATATTCTGGAATATATGGGAAAATGTATTGGGATTATAATTTTTTTGATCTTATTATGGATACTTATTAACAACCCTTAGCATGACCTACAAATTATTATCTATAATATACTATATTGTCTCTCATTTTTATAAATACCGCCATCCTTAAGATTATAAAATTACGTCGTCCATATTTATCTGTCAATCTGATATGAGTGGATCCCTACATTATCATTCTTAACAATAATAATACATTATCATTCTTAATAATAATAATAAGTCTATCATTTTAAAACAAAAAGTTTAAATTCAAAATTATGTAAAAATTGGGATCCAAAAAATTTATACATTTGATACTAAGTTCAAATTAAAATATTCTTAATAAGCCTCACTCAAATGGAGTCCAAATCCAAAAGGTCCAAAATTATTATTGTCTGTGTTGTTCTAATGTCCCCAACCATTATTTTTGTACCTATATAGATATAAAAAGTAAAATAAAATAATTCACTCTCACCTAAAGCAAAAGTCCCAAGGAAGAGTCCATATGTGTTTTAAACTTATTTCTTTAAGTTATTTTGAAAACCTTGTTTTAAAAATATAATTTTAAATTTAAAGTCATATTTTAAATACACAAATATTTTATTTATTTATTTTTTTAAATTTATGAAACTGTTCACCTAACCTTTATTATATTTTACTCCCCTTGCGTGTTTCCCTCAACCCACTATGAAGGTCCCATGACTTTTGTGCTGTTTGATAGGAGTGTAACATACTTGGGACTCATGGTTGGTTTTGAGTCAGATATGGATGGAACCATCTCATGGTCCAACTAATTGAAAAGTGTGTATTATTTACGTAATGTGAATAAATTTATTATCTGTTTTGTACAGGTTTTTACAAATTCAAATTTGATATTAAAAAGCATAAACTATAAGATTCTTATTATCTGTTTTACGAGAGTTTAAATTTTTTATTTTTTATTATTTTGTGAACATTTGTCTGACAATCAAAAAATAAAAACCCTACAATTCAATTCTGAATTAAAAAATAAAAAATAAAAAAAACCCTAACCCTAATTTGTGAATTCAAATTCAATTGAAAACCCTAGAATTGGGTTAGGGTTAAGGTTCAATTTGCATTACAGACTTTGGGTTAGGGCTAGGGTTCAATTTGAAACCCTAGAATTGGGTTAGGGCTAGGGCTTGAGCTACGGTTCAATTTGTGAATTCAAAACCACAATTTCAATTCACAAACCCTATTCGACCCACATTGATATCAATTTCAATTCACAACATTTTCACATTCACAAATCCTATTCTACCAACATTTTCATCAATTCACAACATTTTTACATTTACAAACCCTATTTTACCCACATTGTATCCACATTCACATTTTCACAAGCAAAATCAACACATATAAAATTCAAATTCAAACTGAGAGAGAGAGAGAGACAGACAGTGTACATACCAAGAGAGAGAGCAGAGAGCGACCCACAGAGTGAGAGAGCACAGAACCCACGGAGAGAGAGAGTGAGAGCAGAGAACCACGACGAGAGAGAGTGAGAGCAGAGGGAGAAATAGAGGGAGAACTGAGTATTATATATGGAGTCCTAATGTCCCCAACCTTTATTTTTGTACCTATATAGATATAAAAAGTAAAATAAAATAATTCACTCTCACCTAAAGCAAAAGTTCCAAGGAAGAGTCCATATGTGTTTTAAACTTATTTCTTTAAGTTATTTTGAAAACCTTGTTTTAAAAATATAATTTTAAATTTAAAGTCATATTTTAAATACACAAATATTTTATTTATTTATTTTTTTAAATTTATGAAACTGTTCACCTAACCTTTATTATATTTTACTCCCCTTGCGTGTTTCCCTCAACCCACTATGAAGGTCCCATGACTTTTGTGCTGTTTGATAGGAGTGTAACATACTTGGGACTCATGGTTGGTTTTGAGTCAGATATGGATGGAACCATCTCATGGTCCAACTAATTGAAAAGTGTGTATTATTTACGTAATGTGAATAAATTTATTATCTGTT